GCAGCGTCTCCAAGTGCAGCAGCAGCAGCAGCAGCAGCAGCAGCAGCAGCAGCAGCAGCAGCAGCAGCAGCAGGATTGTCTGACCGCCGGGAGCACATGCTGGACGAAGAAGCTGAGCCGGTCTCTGCAGACGAAGCGCTGCAGCAGCGGCAGCAGCCACACGTTGCTGCCAGCAGCAAAAGTCTCGAAAGAAGCAGCAGCAGCAGCAGCAGCAGCAAAAGATAAAAACAATCTGCAAACAGAACTTTTATTTTCCTCCCCCAGCACGCGGCAGCAGCCAAACACCCGCACGCAAGTCCCAAACGCGAAGTCCAGCTGCGGCCTGCAGCAGCAGCAGCAGCAGCAGCAGCAGCAGCAGCAGCAGCAGGTGGGCGGTGCTGGCAGTAGGAGCAGCAAGAAACGGCACGACGCTGCTGCTGCTGCTGTTGCTGCTGCGGAGCAGCAAGCAGCAAAGCCACAGGAAGCAGCGCGAGCGCAACAGAGATACCCATGGATTTCGACTAAAACCCTAAACCCTAAACCCTAAACCCTAAACCCTAAACCCTAAACCCTAGTCGCTCTACCTAAAGTCCCCGCATCTCCTCATCTGCTGCACTAGGAGAAGGCCACTATGGCTGCTGCTGCATGAGCGTTTGCCGTCTGAGGCTTAGGGTTTAGGGTTTAGGGTTTAGGGTTTAGGGTTTAGGGTTTGTCGCTAGGGTTTGGAAATCTCGAACCTGAAGAGCTTCAGCTCCTGCTGCTTGGCCCTCAGGAATGCCGCCGTCTTGCCCGCCGCCCCGCCTGCAGCGCCCCGCTGCTGCTGCTGCTGCTGCTGCTGCTGCTGCTGCTGCTGCTGCTGCTGCTGCTGCTCCGTGCCTTCTGCTGCCAGCAGCAACTCCCACAAAGTTGAGATGACTGGCTCGAAAGAAGAAAATGCAGCAGAATAAAATTTGTCCAAAAAGGGGGCGAGGCTGCCCGCGTCTCCCGCTGCGCCCTGCAGCACAAACCCTAAACCCTAAACCCTAAACCCTAAACCCTAAACCCTAAACCCTAAACACTAAACCCTAAACCTGGTACATCCCCTGAAAAAAAGCAGAGTCTCTCCTGCGCACTTCGCGCGAATATCTACCTCGCTCTGCGGCGCTAGGATTTGCAGCTAGGGTTTAGGGTTTAGGGCTTAGGGTTTAGGGTTTAGGGTTTAGGGTTTACGAGAGAAACTAAAAACTCCCTGTAGGCGCAGACTTCAACTGCAGCAGCAGCTTCCCCACAAAGCGACAGCACTTCGGGCCACCGCGCCTTGTGCCGGTAGTGCAGCAGACTCCTGCAGCCAAACCCTAAACCCTAAACCCTAAACCCTAAACCCTAAACCCTAAACCCTAAACCCTAAACAATGGGGCGTCACGCCTTGCCATCAGCGCCAAGGAGAACTGCAGCCTCAGTGACGTCTCAGGGCGTTGACTTTGTAGTCGAGGGTTTAGGGTTTAGGGTTTAGGGTTTAGGGTTTACGTGATGAAGGTAAGCACCGAAGGGTGTATAGGCACGCCCGTTATTTGCTGCTGTGTCACCAGGCGCTTCTGCAGCAGCAACACAGCAGCAGCAGCAGCAGCAACGGCAGCTGCAGCAGCAGCAGCTGGATGGGAGAGAAGCAGCAGCAACAGCCGCAGCAGCAGCAACCTGCAGCCCCTTCAATGCCAGCGGCAAACACAAGTGCAGCAGCAGCAGTGAAAAGAGGAACAGCAGCAGCAGCAGCAGCAGCAGCACAGCCAGAAGCAGCAGCAGCAGCAGAAAAGACAGAAGCGGAAACAACAGCAAAAGCAGCAGCAGGAAAAGAGACACCACCAGCGGCAGCAGCAGAGGCAGCAGCAGCAAAAGAGCCAGCAGCAGCAGCAGCAACAGAGCCAGCAGCAGCAGCAGCAACAGAGCCAGCAGCAGCAGCAACAGCAGCAGCAGCAGCAGCAAACTGACTGCTGCCTTAATTGCTGCTGACAGAGCTGTGGGGTCTGTTGCTTTATTTGCAATGCCCACAAGAACAGCAACAAACTGCTGCACCAAAGACAGGCAAACAGCCATCCTGTCCCGCTGCTGCTGCTGCTGCTGCTGCTGCTGCTGCTGCTGCTGCTGCTGCTGCTGCGGGGAGCTCTCCAAGCTGAGCTTGTCCATGAGGGCGCGCAGCTGTTCTTCTGCTGCATCTGTTGGCTCTGCTTCCGCAGCTGCTGCAGTTGCTGCTGCTGCGGCACTGCCGTGCTGCTGCTGCTGCTGCTGCTGCTGCTGCAGGCCCTCGCTGGCCCACAGCATAACAGCAGCAACAGCAGCAGAGCCTGCAGAACACCAAGCAGCAACCTCCCTGGGGCCCCCGCTGCTGCTGCTGCTGCTGCTGCTGCTGCTGCTGCTGCTGCTGCTGTAAAGGCGCCCCTTCTTCAGCAGCAGCCGCGTCAGCAGCTGCGAAGCAATCGACAGCGAAGACACCCCTGCAGCAAGCCGCTGCTGCTGCTGCTGCTGCTGCTGCTGCTGCTGCTGGCCTTCTTGCTGCAGCAGCAGCTGCTGCTGCAGCAGCATGCGCCGCTGGTGCAGCAAATCCGTCAATATAACGCCCAGTGCTTCTAAACTTTCTGCTGCAGGCAGCCCCTTGGGGCCCTTTTGCTGCAGCAGCAGCAGACACAAACCCTCTGCTCTTTCCTTTTGCTTCAGCAGCTCCTGCTGCTGCTGCTGCTGCTGCTGCTGCTGCTGCGGCTGCTGCTGCAGAGAGTCCAGGCGGCGGGCAATGGACCCCAGAATTTGCGGCAGAATCCGCTGCAGCAGCAGCAGCAACCGGCCCTCTTCGCTGTTGCGCTGCAGCAGCTGCTGCTGCTGCTGTTGCTGCTGCTGCTGCTGCTGCTGTTTCAGCGCCCTTACCAGGGCCGTCGTAAGAGACCCCAAGCTTGCTGCTGCTGCTGCTGCTGCTGCTGCATCTTCTTGCTGCAGCTGCTCACAGACACGGGAGACAAACCGCAGCAGCAGCCGCCGTGCTGCTGCCTGCACAGGCACTTTTGGTGCTGCTGCTGCAGCACGCAGCAGCACCTCGAAGCAGCCCCGGGACAAAATTACGTTGCTGCTGCTGCTGCTGCTGCTGCTGCTGCAGCAGCAGCTGCTGCTGCTGCTGCTGTCGCCGGCTGGGGGCGGGAGGCCCCCACAAATGCGCAGCGCCTGCAGCAAAGACAGCGAGGCCCTCTCGGGAGCTGCTGGCAGCAGCGCTGCGTCCTGCAGCAGCAGCAGCAGCTGCCGCAGCAGCTGCTGCTGCTGCTCGCCGCCCTGCAGCAGCTGCGCCTTTGCTGCTGCAGCAAACAGCAGCTCCAGCAGCACACTCATCCCGACGACAAACATGGGGGGCCCAACAAGGGGCTCCTTATCTGCTTCTCCCTCTTCAGTTTGCTGCTGCTGCTGCTGCTGCTGCTGCTGCTGCTGCTGCTGCTGCTGCTGCTGCAGCTCGTCCAACGACTTCCTGAGGCACTGCAGCGTCACATTGAGCGCTGCAGCAAGCGGCTGCTGCTCCGCTGCTGCTGCTGCTGCTGCTGCTGCTGCTGCCTTAGAAGACATTGCTGCTTCTATAGCTGCCCAGCAGCTTCTTGCTGCTGCTGCATGCACAGAAGACACACGCAGGGGGGCCCCCAAAAGGGTACAGTTGGGGGCCCCCGGGGGGCCCCCTGTGGGGGCCCCCGAGGGCCCTGCTGCAGCAGGTTTTGCCTCGAGCTGCGCTGCAACTGCAGAGAGCAGCATCCGCTGCTGCTGCTGCAGCAGCAGCTGCTGCTGCTGCTGCTGCATCCGCTGCTGCTGCTGCTGCTGCTGCTGCCCGGGTTTGGCGCTGGAAGTCATTGCTGCTGCTGCTGGCTGCCTTAGAGACAGCAGCAGGCTGTTCCCTAGGCCTAGGGTTTGCTGCTGTGGTTTGGGGCCCCGGAATAGGGTTTAGGGTTTAGGGTTTAGGGTTTAGGGCTGAGGCTGGCGCGCTAGGGTTTAGGGTTTCAGCGCGGCTGTGGGGCCTCTGGCACATTGCTGCTGGGGCCTGCGTGGCGCTGTCTTCCACGAGCAGCAGGGACAGCGAGGGTTTAGGGTTTAGGGTTTAGGGTTTAGGGTTTGAAGTGCAGGGTTTAGGGTTTAGGACTTAGGGGTTGGGGTGGAAGCCCAAGGAAGACTTTGCTTCGGAGCAGGGGCCCCTGTGCATGCTGCGAAGGGCCCCTGGGGCTGTCTGGGCGGCGAGGGTTTAGGGTTTAGGGTTTAGGGTTTAGGGTTTAAGAGTTAGGGTTTGGCTTGCACTAAAAGATGGCGGTTTCTTGCGTTTGCAACTTTCGTCTCGAATGGCAGTCTAGGGTTTAGGGTTTAGGGTTTAGGGTTTGGGGTCGAGGGTTTGAGCAGGGGCCGATTCCAGGGTGCGCTGCAGCCCAGGCCTCGCGGCTCGCATTTCCCGCTAGGGTTTAGGGTTTAGGGTTTAGGGTTTAGGGTTTAGGGTTTAGGGTTTACGGGGTGCCCATGGAGGTGGAAAATGAAAAGGCTGAGGACGGCCAGCGCGTCCAGCAGCTCTTGCAGGTCATTGCAGAATTCAAGGTAGGCCACAAACCCTAAACCCTAAACCCTAAACCCTAAACCCTAAACCCTAAACCCTACTTGACCTGAACCTCTGCCATCTCGTAGGCCCTAAAGCACCCCTTAGACGCCAAGTCCTCCAGCCTCTCCACGCCTGCTGTGCACCCCTCCCAGGGCCTAGGGTTTAGCGTTTAGGGTTTAGGGTTTAGGGTTTAGGGTTTAGGGTTTGCTGCAGCGGCGCGAATACCTCCACCTCTCCCTCATATCTTCTCTCGAACGCTCCTTAGCTGCAGCGCAGCAAGGGGGGGCCCCCTGGGGCCCCTCTTTGGGCCTTTCCCAAACCAAAGACATTCGAGAAGAGGACTTGGGGGCCCCCCAGGGGGCCCCCCAGGGGGCCCCCCAGGGGGCCCCCGGGGGGGCCCCCCAGCCCGGGGGCCCCCCGGGGGCCCCTGGCTTCGGGGTTTGGC